TATTTTGGATATCAATCGCCAGAATATTCTGTGCGCTCACAGTTATTCGGTTTGCCATCAGCGCCGCTATCGATAACCCAACCCTATCTCCGCCAAATAAATGTATGTTTTCTCTAACCTATCATAAATTGAGTTAACGTTAAAAATATTTGTTTAAAATAACATTAAATGAATACCCATTTGAGTGCCAATAACTGGTCATAAAAGCCCACATTTCCGGGCGCTGTCTGATCGCCGCCGTAGAGGAACCCCAACGGCCCGACCCTATAGTTAACGGTAACCACAACCACATCATTGGTTGACAAAATACTGCCGTTGTATTGGTCCATAAATATTGATCCCATACTCAGTCCTCCGCCATATATCCAAAACATGACTGCTTTGAGACCTGTTTTCTGTTGACTATCTTTACTATTGTTCACATTTGGTGTCCATATATTCAATACCAAACAGTCTTCACTTAATATTTCATTTCCCGTCAAAACCATAAACTTTGGTATCTTTTGAATGCAATAATTACCGGGTTTTGTGCCGTCTATTATACCCTTAATTAATATAATTATTACATTTAATAAATTTATTTAAATACTACTTTCAATGCATACCTGTTTGGGTGCTCTGAGGGGTAGGGGTGGGGCGAACCTGAGTGGGCCTAAAGGTGGCTCAGCGTAGGGTATATTCAAGAATTGATGTATTTTGCGATTCAAGACATGGAGTGTCTGACCCCTCACTGAACCCGAACTCNATATTCAAGAATTGATGTATTTTGCGATTCAAGACATGGAGTGTCTGACCCCTCACTGAACCCGAACTCGTGTTCACATCAATACTATTCCCATCGCAAACACAACACACTATTAAACACACAATTAGTACTGATATTAAAAATTGTTTTGCAAATAACATTATGATAATGTTGTCAAAATATAAGTAGATCAATTTATATAAAGCTACTTATTGCATACAACATTTACCCAACTAGACACAACATTTTAAATATTAAAATTGTTATATTCCAACACATCATTTGCTATCATGCATAATAAAGTAGTCATTTGTGATTAGTCACTAGAATTTTGCAAAATGAAAACCATACAAATTGTGCTTGGTCATATTATTTAATTATTTTATTTACTGCATAAATAATGTATAAAAATATTTTGATATTTTGCATTAAACTATGATAGCATTTAATTAATAGTTGTTTAGCATAAAGAAATTAATATGTAATATTAAATTATTGATTTTATTGATTTTAAATTACAAAAAACATCTATATTTAATAATAAACAGTTTTCTAGAATAAATGTATTTTAAGATTAATAATAGAAATTATTGATTAAAAATTACTTATGTTATATAATAATATTATGTAATAGATTTTATAAAACGATATACAATAAGTTACAAAAAATTATTTAAAATCAATACACAAATATTATTGTTATATTGCAATGTATGAATATCAATTAAAACTTATAACAAACTTACAAACAGCAAATAATTAGAGCACAAAACAACCAAATACTGGTATAACTCATAGCTATTCAATGGGAATATATTATAGCAATTAAAGCCGATCTCAGGTCCGGACAACTGCTCAATGAATGCCATTATATTCAGCCTATATATCAATGACATATGAAAGCGCCCTTCACTCAAATGGCCCAACAAAACAGTTCGTGGTCGGTGTGCCTCACAACTAGGGTTGTTACTTTACCGGTAATATTCATTTCAATCTTACATTACAGGTAATATTTGGTAATTTACGGTAATATTCGGTAAAATTGGTAATTTTCCACAAATAAATTGAATCAATGTTCAGTTCTTTATGGAATATTAATTATATACCTAATTACGATAGTTATCATTTGTAATATAATTAAAATCTACAGAATTACTATCAGAATTACAATTAAGTTTGGAATTTGTATAATTTTTGAAACAAAAATGACAAATAAAAACAATGTTTCTTGTTATTTATTATTAATAAAGTCATTATTGTCTCTCATTTATATCAATTTTAACTATAAATCCAGTAATAACTAATTTTCAAAATTAAAGTTTTTAAAAATTATTCAATTATTGGCATTTTGGACATGACTAATGTCAAATTTTTTTTATAATTTGACAAGTCACGTGTTTGAATGTTGTAATTTACATGTAAGATTCAGAAAACTTGGTAATTTACATGTAAATTACCGTAAATTACCACGGTAAAATTGTAATTTACCAAGTGTCACAACCCTACCAATAATTGAAAATACCGAGGTCAATTTAGATACTATTATTTTATCAATCACTATTGGCGATGAATTAGAAAAGTTGTATTAAGTAATTAACAAGTTATATTATTAATAATTAAAATGATATTTAACTCACATTGATCATAAGTCTCTTGTCCCTTTAGGCCGGCAAAGCTGCCTTATATAGAAAATAACCATAATGTTATTAATATTGTATTTAGACTGACCAACTCAAAAATTGTAATACCGGGACATTTTTTAAAAAACTGGTAAAAATTCCGGGACATTCCTTGACAATTCAAATAACTCGCCTTGACATTCACCTTGACACTTGTTTTTTAACAATATTGTCTGGATACATGTTAGCACAGCTTAATTTTCATTATTTATTGAATCAGCATAATTTTAATTATTTAAAATGTCTAATTAGTTGCATATTTACGAAATAATCTTATTCAGTATAAAAGTAAGTGTCTAAATTAAATAATTTTCAATAGTATAATAAAAGCGTTCGTTAAATCCATTTTGCATTATGTAATTTAGTATAGTATAGTAACGTAAATTAAATAACATAAAAAACTTATACGTACAACATGTCAAATGTTAAATTATGTAATTTGCTTACTTTAATATAGAAAATGCTAAGCTATGAAAATTTATTAATGTCCAGGTCTAGTTTTCATTCTATTTAAACGGATAAATTAAGTTAAGGCACAAATTTAGACATATTCATTTTAAAATGTTTAATTTATTAATACCTTGAAATATTATTATGTCAAATAATTAATTAACTTATTATTATTAAAATAATTTATTAAAATAATAATTAAAATATTTTAAAATGGGGTGTATTTTGCTCATTTTTTGGCCTGGACGTTATATTGTCAAGGTGGGACCCTCGCCTTGACACTGGACAAAATGTTCAAAACCTTGACTGTCAAGGCCAAACCTTGACGGTTGGTCACTCTAATTGTATTGGCTATAATGGATAGTGTGAACCGCACTTCCAGTATGATTTTCACTACGGTCAGTGTTTTTTGCTTTTAAACACCATGGTAGGTTTTTGAATGTGTTCATTAAATTTCATTTTAATAAGTTTGTATTAAATAACTTTGATTTATGTAAAATAAGTTTGATAATAAAATTATTTAGTTACAACTGAAATGACCATGTGTGTTGCATATGAAATGTGAACATTGATGCACTTGACAATAAATTTATATAAATTTTTACATAGATTTAATGCAATAGTGAGAAAGTGCTGTCTTTACTTCACATTGAGAATTACATTTGTATACAATTCACAAGAATTACATGTTTTTGACTGAGATTTTTATTGAAAACCTGGTTTTATTTGGTATTAACAATACAATTTCCAAACATAATAATTGGATCATTATTAAAGCTATATAAAGAATCATGGTATTTAATAAACTTATAATTATATTTATTAATCAAATTAAATAATTATCATTTAATTTATTATAAAGTATGTTAATTATATAGTTAGGTTTTGTGAGTTTTGTAGGCCATTTGTTTCGCGGTAATGAGTTTTATGAATTAAGCCATTAATATAGCGAATACAATGTTGGTTAAAGCGATGATATATCATTATAATGGGACCAAGTGCAAAATGAACTACTATGCCTAGTGTGATTATTATCAACAGAATGATCGAGATCCAGTTACTCTTTATGATTAAACCAACGAGACTAACAATTGATAATATTAGAGCCAAACCTTTTGTATATTAATAATATCTGAAAGCATAAAGTCTATTCCCGGCCCGATCTCATGCCGTTCCTACTATCAGATGTATATCAGATGTTTAACTTAAAAATTAATATTTCTAGAATAAAATAGCTCAGGCTCGTCAGCTTGAAATATGGGATGTTTTTAATATGACGTGGTTTTTGAATCACCAAGGTGTCTTTTAAATTACTTGTTAATATTAGAGTACATTATAATATATGACTAACATATGAATATTGTATGAATTACAACCCAAAGGTTATATGGTATAGTCTGTATGCGTATGAGTGTCAGGCAATGCTAGTGCCATAGCGGTAGTAACCGTAACATTGTTTAACACACATTATTTTATTGTTCATTAAAATTTCAATATTATTTTTTAATTATATTATTTCTTAATATCGCAACAATATAGATATTATTGCAACATTAAATTAATACAACCGCATAAACTTAATCATGGTGTTTCAAAATCAGCGCGCATTGACCGGGATCAAAGTAACGCTGGAAGTGCTGTACGCGTTGGCACTCATTTACGGTGCTATACTAATAGTATCATGGACAATTTTATTGGTGGCCGGTCAACATGATTCCGAAGTAGACCAGTTGAATCAACATTTATGTAAGTTTAATCAACTAATTATATTAAACATATAAGTTATATGATATAATATTTACATTTTACATCTAACCTTGTTTAATATCATTGCTAGTGATCGCGTTTATTGTAATGTGCGGACTGGGCTTAATATTATCAATTGTTGGTCTCATTGGTATAATACTGGAAAATAAATGCATCGCTATTATGCTCTTGGTACTAAACTCGATTTGCATAATAGTGGATTTGGTGCTCGGTGAGATAATCCGAGCAGTGTTAACTATGATAATAGCTATACTGTTGGGTGTATTCGTAAAGCTAATCATTGATAAGTCAAAGGAAGGCCCACCCGTTGCCTACAACACTCAAAAAAGCATAATTACATTATAAATGTTAATCTGTATTTCATATTATTACTCAATTTATTTTCCTATGATTTAATACTTAAATATTTTGTTAATTTATATCTTTATTGAATAAATGAATATAAGAAATAAAAGTTAATCCTATTTAATATTTTGAACATTTATTATTTTAATAACAACTAATGAAATTAGTTTAAATATAAGTAATATATGTAAACTGATTTATCTGAGATAATTGTTTGTTTAATTTTGTAAAATATATGATGTTTTTTTAATTATAAAATTTATAAATGTTTACAAGTTGTTAGAAACATTTAAAATAATATACAGTATTCAAATATTTAAATTAAAAAATATAATAAAATTAATTTACTGCCTAACCAGTTTAATTAAACATGAGATTACATAAAAACAATACCACGTGTTATACCAATGAGGATAATAAATGTAAACATTTCATAACAATGAACTAATCGCAAAATTTCGCATTAGGCTAAGTTCAAGACTGTTATTGAAACTTTTGCATTAATTAATTAAACAATTATAATTAGTAATATTGATATAAAAGTTTTATTCAATTTATTATTAATTGTTCAAATCATATATTATGAAAATTAAATTACAAATTAATACATCTAGAAATATATTTACACAAACCACTATACATTCGTCAATGAAACGAACTAGATAATTATAAACAACAATTACATTTATTGTAAATTAACAATTAATACAAAATATAGCAATAATTAGTACAAATAATTAAATATATGTAATTAAAAATATGCACTTATAGGGGGAACTTAGAGGTAACTTCCCTTTGCTTTTCAACAATAAGTCTAACGTATAGAAAACTAAGGCCAGTCATTAGGGCCCCGATTATCCCGTTAATCCCAAACCCGATTGCAATCACTAATTCCAATATAATACCCACCATAACAAACCACTTATACTCTTTAATAATGCCAACCAACCCGATGATGGTAATTGTTAAATATATTATCTGCCATATAATAACATAAGATATCATGTCATTTAGTGGAACTGTGTAATAAACAATAGACATTAATAGACATGGAATATTACTTGTATATTAATTAGATTGAAAACTATAATGCAAAATTATTGTATAATAATTACCATGATTTTCGTGGTTCAACGTATAAAATAATAACCAAAATGTAAATAGCATATAGCCAATATTATGTAACGCCATCATAGTGTATAGCACGGTCAGTATAGTTTTGACCACGGTAAATGTGTTTAGGTTACGTTTGAATATTGCCGTTAATTTTTGAACATACATATTGTTGTTGTTGTTGTTGTGTTAAAACATACACAAAATAAAGATTACCATGTGTTTTTAGATTATGTGAGCTAGTATCACTCGGCAATGAATGCCTTTGTTTATTACATAGATGTGATGTAATAGTAATACTGAGAAAGTGGTAACTTTACGTCATATCGCATATAGCCTTTGTATGTATTATATAAGAATTATATTGTATTAACTCTGATTTTCATTGAAAACCGGTTTAACTTATATTTAAATAAAATGTATGTCCAATACATGGCAAATACTAAATGAGTATTAATTGTAAAAAATTATGATTAACTATTTAATAGAGTCTATTATAGTGAATTTATAATAAA